TTAGCATTGTTAGCCTAAAGGTGGAGTGTTCGCGAGCGAGACCGAAGGTTTTGGGTTCGAATTATGCGTATGGGATCGTAAATGCTCACTGTCGAAGAGTCCCATACTAGGACAAAATGGCCATCCAGTGCTTCCATGTTTTCAATAGTGGTCTAACATTGATTGGTTCATGATCACAATATGTTGAACTATTCGTTTAGAAGAAAAATTGGATGCTTATTAGAGTGGGTCGGTGTAAAACAGATGTTCGACCATAACAAAACATGAAATTTAAACCATATAAGGTATATATATATATTAATCAAATGATATTGTTCAGACGAAAAATGAAAGATCCCTAGTTTAAACAATCCACCTTAGGAGAACAAAACTCTACCAGAATCATCCACCTGAATTATGAATTTTCGTTACTACCTCAAAACCGTTGATTTTTTTTATCGAATTAATATTTCAAATTATAATACTTTCGTGATAATCAATTTCAACAATGCTTAATCCGGATTAACTTACATAATTACTTTTCTTTCTCTCAAATGTAAAATATCATTGTTAGATAAATACTTATCTGCAGTTAGATATTACTTAACTCCTATTTCACTATCATCCTAATACTAATCACAGCATATAATGGATAAATAATATGTTCAACCAGGTCTGTTGTGAGATATCAGCTCACTGAAGACAATGGTATACGGTAGCGCAACTTCGTGGATTGGTTGGAGTTAGACATTAACACCATTTGATGCCGGATCAGTGGTCTATTTGGCTAAGCGCTTGGCGCGAGACTGTTAGGTTCTGGGTTCGAATCTCGCGGGGTGTGGAATCGTGGACGCGCACTGTTGAGAAGTCCCATACTGGGAGGAAAAGGACATTCAGTGCTTCCAGGTTCTCCATGGTGGTCTAGCTTCAAATGAATCATGATTTCAGTCAGTGAAATTTCTAAAATCTCCACAAACTCATTCTGATAAATAATATGTGTTTGAATTGTATATAGTAATTTCTTTTTTATTTTTATTAAATAACCATTTTTAAGTCCAATTCAATACTATACAATAATGGATTAGTAGCTTAATACTTAACAAAATTGAAATTATTAAATCTTACGAGATTTTGTTCTTTTATTCAAGTTGAAATTGTCATGAATTAGAGATTGAATATTATTCGTTAAGAGTCAAAGTCAACTAAAACATATTTTTTTAATAATTGAGATTATGAGTCAATTGAAACTAGATCACTATGGAAAATTTGGATGCACTGAACGACTGTTTCGTTTTAGTGTGGGACTGCCCCCAAATGCCCTGATATGGCCAAGAGTGGGGATAGTTCGCTCTCCCTCTTGAAATGCTCTCATATGGCCACGCGTATATAGCCTCTGCCAGGGAAGTCCTACTCACTGCCTTCTCGCGGCATTACTGTTGCTTACGAAATTAAAAATACGAAAACGAATGTCCGGTGCTTTAATCGGGTTGGTGGACATGGAGAGTTCACCTAGGGGAGTTGGAAAACCCTCATTCCAAACCAATGGTGCACATAGACTCCAGTATCCTGCAGGAACAAATGGCGTATGAACCAATCGTTAGTCACCGGCTACCATGGGACTGCATCTCCTTACGATGCTCCACTGCCTTGTGGACCAGACCTTCATGTCGAAGGCTCCGGGTGTTACCCCCTAAGAAAACCACCTTCTTCGGTTTGGGCATCAGGTCAGCATCACGGTCCTCACACATATCAAATAAGATCTGTGTGGCGCATATGTATTTGTTGTCTCCTTGTACCAATATCTATGTGTTAAAATAAATAATAAAGTGTAGGACTCCTCAGCACTGCGCATCCATGATCCCGTCTCGCGAGATTCGAACCCGAGACTTATATATATTGGTACAAAGAAGCACTAAATACATATGCTCCCCACAAATCTCATCTGTTATGAAGCTTAAAAGTTTTGCATTCGATCTTTAATGAGGTGGAGATTGTTAATGTCCAGTATTTCCTAGTTTCTAATGATACCCTAACTTAAGTCAATCTATAGCGAATATCATTTGTAAATTATTATTTCATGTCTTCAGTCATCATTATTTGACCACTTCAAAATGTTATTTTAAATGTTAATTTTAGAGATTAAGCAATTGTATAAATGAAAATGTATATTCTATCAATTATTGAATAAATTATATCTTTTCTTATTGTGTTTTACATGTATGTATGGGGTAGGTAAGTTAAAAGTAACTATGGTTAATAAATGATATTATTATTATTATTATTATTATTATTATTATTCAAAATTGTGTTCTTGTTTATGGTGTATGTACGTGTGTACGTGTTCACATAATTAAACATACATAGATACAAATAAATATAAAAAAAAGATGAACAATGAAGTTGACATTTAATACCAACACAAAAAAACGAAAAAAAAAAGAAAAAGAAACGGGGGAAACTTTCTTGTCTTATATTTTTTGTACTTCAACTATTTATTCATATTTAGATGATTATTAATTATTATTCGTAATATTTCATTGTAGATCCTAATTGTAGAAGTATTTCTCTTTTACATTGTGTTTCTTCTCAAATGAATGAATAGTTAAACAATTTCATGAAGATATTATTACCTTAATATGATTCACTGATATGATATACATTAGTTCTTATTATGTATTATTATGATTACCATTATTATTATTATTATTATTATTATTATTATTATTAACATTACCGATAGTTGCATGGTATTACAGCAAATGAAAGTTTAAAATGTAGTTTGTATATGTTGTAATAAATACTATAGTCTAAACATAAAACCTGAGACAAAATGAACAACATCACTATTCATGATGTATGTATAGGACAATCTATTTAAGTATATGTATATAACAAAGTTCTCTCTTGAATAACAAACAACCACCTTAAACATTTGATTAATCACTTTGTATAATATTCAGCATTACTTTTTTATTATTATTTGAAATTACATATAAATCTAGTTGATTTGATTGTAGAATCAAATGAACAGAATCACATGTTTATCATTCTCTTATATATATATGCACAAACACAAAAGAAAATTCATTGATTAATGTGAATTTATGATAAATATGCAATTTAATTGTGGTGGTGGTGGTGGTAGTGGTGGTGTTACTCTTTTTTTACTGAATTACATGGTTACTAACTTCATGTATAAGTTGAATTGTATTATTTAGTCATAATAGATAAAAGGGTGTGGTTACCTGAAAGTTTCCTTTTGTAATTTAAAAATTTATCATTGACTTGTAATGTCAAATAATAATATGTTTGTCACTAAGTAATGTAATCAATGATTTAATTATCAGGACACTTGAATGTTGTGCATAGCTATATGCTCCTCTAATATCACTTCATCTACTTTAGTTTATGTATTTCGGTTAGATCATTAGTTTATAAACTTCAAAGCACTAATCTATGCCCTTGATTACTGTCATAAATATTGTAATTCATCTGACAAGTAGTGAGTTATATGCTTGGTTAGTATTACTACCCAGCTGTTTAGACCTAGGTGCCATGTGGGCTCGAACCAGTGACCTATTAATTGATAAATGCTAAATAGTTCAACTACTAACCAATCAAATCATATTTCCATATTGAGTAGTTACATTATTATGATCATAATAAAGGAGAATAGAAATTATTCGGTGTTGATATCCTATCCAATGTTTTATTATTACAATTATGTTCATGATGTCTGTAAATCTTTTGATTTGACTATGTTAAATGTAACTACAAATGAAATGAAATGTATAATATGTATTAGGCTATTCTCACAATTACTGTGATGATGATGATAAACTTTAATGTATAATCTAGAGTAAACTAGTTTTTAAGTTGACAACATTCTCCTGACCTAATTTTGAGTTCAGTTCATTTTAGAAATCAATTGTGATCTGAGTGTTTCACTTCTTAATTCTCATATTTATCATGATTTAAACAACTAATGAATTTAATCATTCCCTACATTAACATTTATGTAGATCCAGAACGTTTACATAAATTTCTATTCGGTTAGTTAAAAGAAAATCTTTCTTTTTTTGTTGTTGTTGATTGGCCTGCATCACGCAACATTTGGTAAGATGCTTTTTTCAATGTATCAAGAATAGTTGTTAGTTATAGAAATATAAACAATCTTAAAATTGTAATATTGACTTAAGTTATGTAACACTTTACCATAAGTACAATGAGAGATAATCAATAAAAGGGAATGGTAGGAATGAAATGAAAATAATATTTAATTCATTTTACATTAAATTTGTATTAGTTTTTTTTAACAAAAAGGATTACTCCATATAATTTCAACAGTCTAGATCATGAGTCAATTGAAGCTAGACCACCATGGAAAACCTGGAAGCACTAGACGGCCACCTCGTCCTATTGTGGGACTCCTCAGCATTGCGCATCCAGTTTTGACATAGTAACTCACTGATGACGATGGTGAATGTGTCGCTCAATTTCGTGGATTAGTTGAAGTTAGAAATTAATACCGTTGGATGCTGACTCAGTGGTATAGTTGGTTAAGCGCCTAGCGCGAAACTGACAGGTCCTGGGTTCGAATCCCGCGAGGCAGGGTTGTGGGTGCGCGTTGCTGAGGTGTCAGGCGATAGGACGAAACGGTCGTCCAATGCTCTCAGGTTTTTCATGGTGGTCTAGCTTCAATTGACTTATGATATCAACTGCTGAAATTACTACAATCTCCACAAAACCCCTTCTGATACTCCATATATATTTGATAGCGTGATGATTGAGACATTAGTAGTTCAATTATGAAATTACAAATTTGATCTTTGTTCCACTCACCTTGGTTTTTGTGATAGACTAATACTAAATGAATAGACGAAAGTTAATTAAATAAAGTTAATACTTAATAATTGGGTTCCATAATCTATTGAGTTACATGATCTTTAATGTTAATATTTAATTTTTTGACAAAGTAGAAACACAAACTAATTTACTGTAATAATTTTCTTTGATTATAGAAATTTTTCATGCGACATACAGCTGCCAGATTACGAAATTCTGAAATTGGATCTACAGTTTCTGAATCAATATGTCCAATGGGTGGTAGATGTCGTGTTGAAGGTCCCGGTCGTGGTAAATGCCCACATTGTCGTTATCGAAAATGTTTAGAGTTGGGAATGACTTTAACACGTAAGTTTCTTTCTTTTTACACTTACATTTACATATATAAATTGTACTTGTTTCATGTATTATATAAGTATTGTTTGAATAAAGTAAGAATTGTTATAGGTCTATAGAGGATATTCATACTTAAGTAATATTTGATAACAAATGCCTTCGAAACATTGTTCGTGTATTTTAAAATCGCTTAGTGAGTAATGATGAAGTTAAACTCACAGTGCTAAGTTACTTACTTACTTACGTATGTTGCTCCCAATGGAGCATAGGCCGCTGACCAGCATTCTCCAACTCACTCTGTCCTAGGCTTTCCTTTCCAGTTCTGTCCAATTTTGTTCATTTTTTTCATGTCTCCATCTCTCAACGAAATGTGTTTTTTGGTCTTCCTCTTCTCTTTTGGCTTTGAGGATTTCATGTGATGCACTTGGGTGCTTTCCACTTCCAGAGCTTCTTCCTCCGCTGTGATCTGGTTTGTTCTCTCCCACAGTACGTTGTTGCTAATAGTGTCTGGCCAAAGGGTCCGAAGTATTTTGCGTAGACAACTGTTAATGAATACCTGTATTTTCTGGATGATGGCTTTCGTAGTTCACCAGGTTCTCACCCCATACAGTAGAACTGTCTTGACATTTGTATTGAAAATGCTGACCATGGTGTTGGTTGACAGTTGTTTTGAATTCCAGATGTTCTTCAGTTGTAAATATGCTGCTCTTGCTTTTCTGATCCGCGCCTGCACATCTGCATCAGGTCCACCCTGTTCATCAATGATGCTGCCTAAATATGTAAAGGTTTTTACATCTTCCAAATGTTCTCCATCAATTGTGATTGGATTGGTGCATGCTGTGTTGTACCAAAGAATCTTGCTTTCCCCTTTGTGTGTATTGAGAGCTACTGCTGTTGGGGCTGCTACTACACTGGTCGTCTTCTTCTGCATTTGTTGTTGCGTTTGCGATAGAAGAGCCAGATCATCTGCGAAGTCTAGATCGTCCAGCTGCATTCTAGATGTCCACTGTATCCCGTACTTCCCCTTAGATGTTGACATCTTCATGATCTAGTCGATCACCAGGAGAAAGAGAAAGGGTGAGAGTAAGCAACTTTGCCTAACACCGGTCTTCACTTCGAACGACTTTGTCAACTGTCCTCCATGCACGATTTTTTAGTTTAATCCATCATATGAACTCTGTATGATATTGACTATCTTCTGAGGCACGCCGTAGTGTCGAAGAAACTTCCATATTGTTGTTCTATCCACGCTATCAAATGCTTTTTCGTAGTCAATGAAGTTGATGTAGAATGGTGAATTCCATTCAATTGATTGTTCCACAATCATCCGTAGAGTTGCGATTTGGTCTGTACACGATCTATCCTTACGGAATCCTGCCTGTTGGTCACGAAGTTGTGCGTCTACGGAGTCCTTCATTCTGTTTAACAATACCCTTCTGAAAACTTTTCCTGGTATTGAGAGAAGAGTGATGGATTAGTAGTTACCACACTTGCTTTGGTATTTCGATCAGAAGTTCTTCTTTCCAGTCTTTTGGTACTTGTTCTTCATCCCGAATCTTATTGAACACAGTGCTAAGTAAGTTTACTAAATTAGTTGTTGGGGCAGTGAAGCTTTATCGACTGAGGTGGTTAGAATGTGTATTACATATGCCTAACAACATTCGATTATTTAAACAACAAGGCTCAGAATTCGTCACAATCAATTAAGTGTATTTACTTTTTGTTTTCCTTTTGATATTAAGCTTTAAAATTATTTTAGATATTTTTTTATTGTATGAATCCTTTCTTTCTTCATGAGTCTAATCTGTTTTTTTTACTACCTTTGATACTGTCATTACTTTTGCTACTCTGAGATTTATCTTGATAATTTCATCTTACTATGCTAATATATTGTGACAACCTGAACCGTTACTGATATGTGGCAGGTTCTACGTTGATTATGAATGACTAGTTGAGATAGTCTGTCCTTAGCCATTAAAAAAATGAACTATAGAATTTTTAACATTGTTATGTTATATTATAAGGTTGTTCATGTTAATTTAGAGACCAAATTCTAATCAAGAGACAATGAGACTATAATTTATGGATGATCTATGAGCGACACTAAAGTGACCTTGAGAGTGTCCACCTGATAACCAGGACCATGTGACGATTTAAAATTATGATTTACAGTTGATGATTAAGGTTAGAAATGAGATTTGAGGTTTTCATCACGAACTAACATAAGCTATAATGCCAAAACTATATTTAACCAAATGATTGAGTGAATTTCGCGCCAAAATTCGACACTTGATATCCTGTACATGATTGGTTCGTCCATTAATTATAGTCTCACCTAAGCGACTACTCCACGCATTTGTTTTAAACGAATAATAACATACTGTGTACCTGAAGTAATTTTTACACTATTATTATTATTATCATCTAGAATATAAAATGTAAGATTTAAAACTGAGTATACATATTGTACACCTAGTGAATAAGTTTTAAATATTTGGAAAGTATTAATTTTTCGACTTATATTATAGTAATTCATACAATTTGTTTCTATAACTTCTCATTATTGTATTCCTGTGTTCTTTTTTCTTCTATTTTTTTTTGAATATTCATGTATTTCCTTCAGTAAGGAAGAGATCAGATTGAACTGTAATTACATAGAGTTTTATAATTATAGCATACTTTGATCTTAATTCTTTATATGTAATTCTATTTAATGGAATTCTTCAATGTTTCTATTTTAGTTTAAAGTTTGTTTTTTTCTTTTATCAATATAGAGATTTATGGAGATTGTAGTATTTTCACAGTTGAATTCATTAGTTGATCTTATCTAGACCATCAATGAAAGCCTGGAAGTACTGGAAAGCCGTTTCTTTATAGTGTGGGGCTTTTCAAAAGTGCCAATTCACGACATTAATATCGTTGGATGCCAGTTCAGGGGTCTAGAGGTTAAATGTTCGCTAGTAAAACTGAAAGTCCTAGGTTTGAGTCCCGGGATCGTGGATGTACACTGCAAAGGAGTTCCATGCAAGGATGGAACGGTCGTTCAGTGCTTCTAGATTTTCAATGATGGTCCAGCTTAGATCGACTCTTGAATTCAACTGTAAAAAAATTTTAAACTATATATTATTATTATTATTGTTTCGAGTAACTGTCTCTCAGATTTCTCACCTCGATGTATACTGTCAAAGTGGATGACTTACAAAGGACATTGTCCATACTCCTTAGTTTACCTCGAGTGAAACCAATTGACAGTCATATAAAAGCTTGGTACATATTAGGAAATCAACTTACCAAACTGTTTATTGTTAAGAATATGTGTATATTATCCTGTTATTGATATTCAGAATTGAGTTTTGATCAGTTTTTGCTAACAATATGCGTACATCCTAAGCGGATACGTATAAATAACAATGAATAGTGCAAAGTATTCCTTTCGGTTCACTTTAGTTCTTATTCATATCTTACAAATGTAGAAATGTGATTGTATTTATGGTCGATTTCTATTCATTTATGATTATTTATCCTATAGGAATCATATTCTATGTTATGTATCCTTCGTTTAGTTATATTGAGTTTATATTAATCATTTACACTCAGTACATTAGGATTATAAGTTAAAAGAAATCTCTTGTTAGTGTTGTGTCCGAGGAAGTTTTAATCATGGGTAGCTTCTGGGAACTATTTATGGGCTGTTATTACATATATATTCTTAACTATTAAGCAACTAGATTATATATATATATATATATATTGATATTTCTTTTATTGTAAGCTTTCATTTGATCTATTGGCTACTATTATACAATTTACTCTCATACCCATAGAAACTTTTGGCTTGATCTTGTATAATAACTATTTCTCATTTTATGGCGTCATGCGATCTGGTTAGTTGATATATAAACCGTGTATATCTGAAATATACGATTCATAAATCGGAAACTGATATTTGTGTTCTGAACTGAACTGGATTGGTTTAAACGAGAAGTTACTCTTTCAGAGGACCAATAAGGACTGAGTGAACTCAAGACTGCTTATGCTGAATAACACATCATTTTGTTTTAGTACAAGGACAAGGTTATAAAAGTCAGTGTTCAAATTGGTGATTTTGTCATATGATATTTAATGAACTATAGGACCTAAAAGTTAGAATGTACTTTTCATTTATATTTTGATAAATGTTTTCGAAATTCAATTGCTTTATAAATAGTATAATAAACAATCATAGAACAAACATTTCTATATCATTCTTTACGCCTTATTATCTAGGTAAATATCTTATTTATGTGCCATTATTGATCAATTTGATTATTATTATTATTATTATTAGCTTTATTCAATATTATATTTTTGGTACAATATAGAATTCTCAGCGTAAAGTATTTCAACAAGTTTCCGTTTCTTTCTTCTTGGTCGGTCCTGGCGATAAATATTGAGGAATCGCCAGTTAGATGTTAGCACTTCAGTGAATGAACAACTGAATAATGTACATTCTTTTCGTTGTACATTGCCAGCAACCATATTGTCTCTTATTGAGTTTTTTGTAACTTTGACAACGAAAGGTTGTACACTTTTCAGAAACGCAGCAGAATAGGTTATGCGATTAATAAACATAATGATATATTCAAACAAACAACAATAGATAACTTGTTGAAATATCTAGATGGCAGGAACAGGTAGCCCAGATGCTCAAGCAGGCCGCCCTAATTGGTCAAGTCAAGAGTACATCAATCACTAATTCACTATCATGGATAAAACTTTTATATAGTATTTTCTTCTTATTAAATTTTAATATACATGTATATTTCAATATTACTGATCTAGGTATAGTTAATCATTACTATCTTAATCCAATAATGAATAACTTTAATGAACTAATCTTAATCTAAACAAAATAATTATATTTTAAATCAATATCATATGTTAAAAGAGATTGAGAGTCAGTAAGAGATGTCATGGATGCATTCATAATCAATTGGATTATGTTTTTTATCCCTTAGGTCTTTTTTTTCTTT